TTTCTCAGTGTGCTAGTATCTTTCAGCAGCATACTTAGATTTCTAAGATTTTTCTATTGTTTCAGAGCATGGAACGGTCCACAAGACTTGTTCTTGTCATCTAAGAGCCACCTGGAAAAGTTCAGGCCCTCAAAAGACATTTATTCTGTCTTTGGGGAAAAGGATAAAACCTATTTTAAACAATGTGCATTCAGGAGAAAAGGGGAAGAGGATCTCATACAGCAAAATAGGAAGATTTTAAATGTCTGTATTTCTCTTTGGCATAAAATCAATGATATACCGTCAGATACACACACCTGTCCCTGCCTCCTTGCCAGCCCAGCCTGAGAGCTTGACCAGTGACCTCATCAGACAGAAGGGAGGGGACCTTTGTTGGCAGTGTTAAATGAAGGGGTATGTAAAGTACTGCCAACTCCTCTGAAGATAAGCATGCATAAACAGAACAGAATTATCTTTCTCATTTCTGAGAACATGTGTGTGCATGTGTGTATGTTTGTGTGTGTGTGTGTGTGTGTGTGTGTGTTTGTGCGCGCGTAAGTTATACCATTGACTTTGCTTTTTTTTTTTTTCTCATGGAAACTGCAGACTCTATTATCTTGGGAAGTATTTTTTAGATATCCAAGATTTTTTTCTATTTGTTTTCTCTTAATTAAATTTGTGGTATATGTAGGGTAGGTTAGGCACCGTGAAAATTAATTTTCTCAAAACCCTTGTAAGGTTGTAGTTTATTATTAAGGTGTTTTGGATAGTAAAACTGATGCATGAGGAAGACTTAGGCTCACAGAGTTGATACTGAGCAGAGATAGGACTCAGACTCCAAAGGTTTTGTTCACAACTATTGCTCTACAATGCTTAGAGAAGAAGAGGAATCAAATTTTATTTAATTTAAATAATTGCTTACTTTTAGAAGAAAACGATCTCTAGTGGCTTCAGTCAGAAGAATATCAATTGACTGAAAATCGAGTTCTTTAAATCAGGCCTGTGAGTCCTTAGTGAGCCGGTTAACATGTGCCCTGATGTTTCTGCTCCATCCTCATACCCAATGGCTCATTCTTCTGAAAGACAAAGCTGGGTTCAAACCTTAACATTTCTTAGCCAACTCATTTACACTCTCCAAACCTCAGCTTTCTCATTTGTAAAATGAGAATGATGGTTATTTTAGCCTCCCAGATTCAACAAAAGAATATGTGTGTGGAATTGAGCCCAAGACCTGAAAAAAAACTGAATTAAGTACTCAGAAAGCAGAAATGCAGAGAGAAAGCCTGGAAAACCACATGAGAAGTCATCATGTAAAATATTAACTTGAAAAATATCAGCTGTAGTTTGTGTGGATGGAATCTTATACATTGCACATGTGGTTTGCCTCAGGAGAAAATGTGGCTAATTTTGGCTCCCAGACAAATTGCAAGACAGACCCATGGATAACTCACACATGGGTTCAGATTTCCCACAAAGTCCGTAAAGGGAGCATAGCAGCCTCACAGCACACTCAATCCCAATCCAAATGACTCAGGTCCTTTAAACTTTCCTTCACTATCTAAATTTCCTTTCCATGCCCAGTTCTCCATAAAGTTGAAAGGAGTGTACTTGGCATTGTGGCTTAAATCCTTGGCCAATGTTAGGCTGATCTCTGGGGGGTGCTTCCCTGGAAATCCAGCCAGATCCTTCATTCTGTCCAAGTCTTGTCCATAATACAGAGAGCCAGCTCTTCCTCCTCTGCCATTCCAAGGAAATTCTTCCACAGAACTGAAGGCGGAAATTTGGCTCAGTTGACATTTCTAGAGAATACACAGCACTGCTGTGAGGTCTGAGTGTATTATATTCACGCTTCTGCCAGGTTTTCTTGAAGGAAAACACTTCTGAAGTTCCCATCCTTTTAAGTAAAATGAATTTAGATTCAAAATAGAATAATCACACCTTTCAAAATTTCTGAGTTTTCAAGGCACAATCATCTACATTTAGCTTCACTGATTCTCATGCTGGTTCTATAATGTAAGGAGGAAACCTATTTTTAGAGATCTTTGTAGATGAAATATACCTCTTGAAAATTGTTTTGTTGGGTACTTTAAGAAAGGATTGAAATTTTGCTCATTTATAAAAAGAAAACTGAAAAAAGTAGTCATTTTTCTGATGTGGGCATGTATGAAAAAAATATTTCACAGCCATAGTAAGTCAATTCTTCTTATATCAGAACATATATGAAGGGGCAGGGGATATAGCTCAGTTGGTAGAGTGCTTGCCTTGCATGCATAAGACCCTGGGTTCAATCCCTAGCAACACTACCCCTACTCACATGCACAAAACTTATGTAAAATTTTCCCCCCTATTTTTTACAAAGCATGTTGGTTGACCTTCTTAAAGAAACGGAAATATCACAGTGAAAAACAGACATCTTGGTGGCAGAGCAGAAATGGTTAGTCAAGTCCAAAAGGCAGAAATGTTAATTTAATTGATCTTTGTGATTCCTAACACACTATGACTGAGAATTCTAGAGATGTTTTTGGTGGTGATGCACATTATATAGTGTACACAGCAAAGAAGAACACAAGCCATGTACTTTTTTTTTTTTTTTGTATTTAGTAGTTTAATCAGTGACCTACATCTGCATCAGAAATTCTAGGAAGAGTTTAACACTGGGTTTTCTGGAGAGGACAGGGAGGCCCATAAATTTCAAAACATGCTTGTAAAATGCAAAATCCTGTTCAATTCTATAAATGCATTAATGAAGGAAGAATCTGGTGCATAAAGACCAGTTCTTAGTCCTTTGGGAGAAGGAGGAGAACATGAAGCATCTCAAACAAAATGGTTAATTTTCACTTAGTAGAACTGCCCAAGATGAAATTAAAACAAAACAAAACAACAAACAAACAAAAACTAGACTTGCCTCTCAATTGAAATAACCAACTGGGAAAAAATATAGATGAAACAATAGTTTCTAAGACACTGGCAATTGAGAAATGAAAACCAGTGGTTCTGAGAGATGGGAAAAAAAAATGAGGTGAATTCTACCACTGCTCCAATTTACTGCCTTGAGAGAGTTTCCAGGTCATGGTGCAGAAATGAGGAGTACAGGTGGAGCCCACTGCATTCCCAGAGCTGAGGAGGCACAGCTGGGAGTCCAATGAGATTAAGGGGCTAAATTGCACACAGAGTCTCTGGAGATCTGCAGGTGGTCTCCCTGGATTGTTCAGCTGAACTCTGATAGCATGAGCACATGAGGAAATCACTTGAGCCTGGGGAAAGACCCACTTGCAAGGCATATAATGCCAATCACTCACACAGAGCCAGCAACAGTGCCTTTCCCATCTGCAAGCCTGGAAAAGCCCCAAATCCATAGAGTATTGAAAGAAAACCTCAGAAAGGCTTTGCCTCAAAATTTATTTATGTCTTGCCCTAAATTAAACACTGCTCCAAACTTGCTTAACAAATCACAACAGCAAGACCCAAAAGGATCTTGCAGCTTAACTTTCTCTGAAAAAGGCAGATGAATGCTTATGAGAATCCATATGTGTCCCACACCTAAGGAACATCGCAACATCTGGCACAGAAAGGTGCATAGACATGGCCCATAAAGCATAATGTAATCCCCCAAGCCAAATGAGAACTGACATAAATGTTAACATTAGCAGGAAAATAATATTAAGACAGTTATTATGCATATTCCATGTTACAAAGTCAAGTATAAACATGGAAGATACAAAAAAAAGAATTATATAGAATTTGTAAAGATGAAAACTGTGAAGTCTAGGATGAACAGTACCCGGGGTGGGAGATAAATGACAGGTTAGATTTGGCAAAAGAAAAAGAGTGAATTCAAAAATGTAGAAATAAAAATGATCCAAAATGAAACACAGGGGAAAAAAGATTAAAAATACAATGAAGATCTGTGAGTTTCAATATTCTTTCCAGTAATTGATAGAAAAAGCAGAGAAAAAAATCAGCAGAATATAGTAGATTTGAACAACACCGTCAGCTAATGTGACCTATTTAACATTATAGAACACTCTGTCCAACAGCAGAATACACATTTTTTTCAAGTGCACATTACACATTTGTCAAAATAGACCATGTTGTGGGCCATAAAATAAAGCTCAAGATTTTAAAAGATTCAAGTCATTATATTGTATATTCTCTGATCAAAATAGGACTAAATTAAAAATCAACAACAGAAGTATCTTTGAAAAAGATCCTCCAAGTATTTGGAAACTAAATAAAGTACTTTTAAACAATCCATGGTCAAAGAAGAAATCAAAAGGGAATTAGAAAGAATTTTTAAGTGAATGAAAATCAAATTAATATATAGAATTTATGAGATTCCATTAAAGCAGGTCTTATAAGGAAGTTTAAAACATTTAGACCTGTACTGATAAAGAAAAATGGTTTCAATCAATGACCTCAATTTCTATTTTAAAAACCCAGAAAAGGAAAAAGAAGATAAGCCCAAGGTAAGCAGAAGAAAACAATAAAATTAAAGTAGAACTTAATGAAACAGGATAAATCCAACAGAGAAAAAAATCAATAAACCCAAAAGTAATTTCTTTGAGATCAATAAAATTGATAAACTTGTAATCAAATTCACCAGGTGGGGGGGAAAGACATAAACAACAAATATCAGAAATGAGAGAAGAAGTATAGTCAGATATTAAAAAGATATTAAGGGAATACTATGAATAATTTTTGCATAAAAACTAAACAACTTATGTGAAATGCCTTTCTTTGATGCAAAAATTACCAAAGCTCACTCGAGAAGAAATAATCTAAATAGCATAAACATATTACCATTCAACATGTGTTGAATGATAATAACTCTGTTTGCACTTTGTGAAGATGGATTTGGAGAATTTGTGTGGGAACAAGTACTGTGATCAATTAGTGATGTCTATCATGGGTGTGGAAATGAAGCATGGCGATTCTCCGGGTCATGTATTTGCCATCCATAACTAGGAATTGCAAGCTTATCCTTCTACTAAGAAGTGTGACTTGAGTTAATTGTGTTGCAGGACTCGAAAACCATGGCAGAAAAGAACCAGGTCTTACCTCTGCACCTGGAGATGCCTCTCTTCAAGAATATTACATGGATGTGGCTTTCCTCATAGATACTTCCGAAAGAGTAGGAGATAACGAGTTTAAGGAACTGAAAGCTTTTATAGCCTCAGTGCTTGATTACTTTCATATCGCCCCAGATCCACTGACCTCCACCTTAGGAGACAGAGTGGCTGTCCTGAGCTACTCTCCCCCTGGCTATCTGCCCAACACTGAAGAATGCCCTGTCTACCTGGAATTCGATCTGCTGACTTACAACAGTAGAGACCAAATGAAACACCATCTCCAAGACTCTTTCCACCAGCTCAATGGAGACGTTTTTATCGGCCATGCCCTGCAGTGGACAATTGACAATGTCTTTGTAGGAACCCCCAACCTGAGGAAAAACAAAGTTATCTTTGTAATATCTGCTGGGGAAACCAACCCTTTAGACAAGGAAGTCTTAAGGAGTGTATCTCTGAGAGCCAAGTGTCAAGGCTACTCTATATTTGTATTTTCCTTTGGTCCTGGGCACAATGACAAGGAATTAGAAGAATTAGCCAGCCAACCCCTGGATCATCACCTGGTCCAGCTTGGCCGGATCCATGAGCCAGATTTGGACTATATCATCAAGTTCATAAAGCCATTTGTCCACTTAATCAGACGTAAGTCACTCAAAGTTTTTTCTCTTCTATTGCTTTCCCCTTCCGCATTTTTTTTAATGGGTGCATTATAGTTTTATATAATGGTGGGATTTGTGGTTACATATTCATTTTCTTCTATTCCTTTTTCGATTTAATGTCTCTGTGTACCATCCATCAGTAGACTTAGTTAAATAGTCCTTATTTAAGTTTGAGGGTTGTTAAGTGAATAGGAGCAGTGAAAAATCTCAGAGAAAAATCCTAGGTCTTGTTGACCTTGAACATGTTGCTGCACTTTCAAAGTTTTAGCCAGGAAATCCTCAAGAGGGGGAAAACATTCCTTTAACCTTAATCTGAGAGTGTTTACTACGTGCCAGGCTCTTTGAACAGATTAGGCCATTTAATCTTCAGGGTGGCCCTCAAAGGGAAATAGTCATAATCCCTTTTGATAAGGAAAAAAATGTTGAGGTTCAGAGACATTAACTGCATAGTTTAAAAGTTTAGAATTAATAATTGGTAAATTCTAAATGTGCCCCCATGCATTCCTGACCCAAGATCTATGCTTTGTCCATCAAACTATACTTGAATTACTAAATCCTTAACAAGGTTTACTGCTATAATAAATAATATCTAACTGCCACCACCCTCCACCTGATCAAGGGCTTGTTTTTTATTCTGTCACTATAAGTGATCTTTAGCTCGGACTTGAATTCTTATGAGCCATAGGCACAAATGTCTTCTAGAAACTTGTCCCAGAAAGCTAGCTCAGGCACAGCCACACAAAGGTTTTTCCTGGTGTCTTTAAACCTTGGGGCTCTGAGAGTCTGCTCTGCTTCTGTCTTTGTCTTAATTTTCTAGTAACACACTCAGTATCTTAATGTATCAAATAAGTGCTGGGAATCAGGAATGGGGTAGAGACCACCACGGTGAAAGATTGTCTCTAGCTTCTGGAAGTTTGCTAGGGTTTTGTAGGAATGCAAGCTTTCGGGTACTCACAGAGTCCCAGGACACAGAGTCCTTAGGAATCCTGGTATTTAGGAGTTACAGTTAGTAGCAGGCAAAAAAAAAAAAAAAAAAAAAGGTGTTTTTCCCCCAACCCCAATATAAAAAAAAAATTTAAAAGGTAGACAATTTCAATAGCAAATGAGTCTTCTAGAAAGATCCTCTATTTCCAGGAAGAAAAAAAAGTGGTAGGAGGAATCAAGAGATGCTCTTGAATTATATCACAAGCCTGTGACATATGGAACATAGGATTTTTTTTAATCCATTTACTTCTGTATCTTGTTGACTTGGCCAAGAACAAAGTATTTTAATGTCAGAGAGTGCCTAGTTTGCTTAGTCCCTTATAAAGTTAACTTTGTTTTTGAAAACACTGCCAGTCACAAGGAAAGATGAACTGACCTTGGGTGAAAGTCATAATGTGGAAGGGGAAAGTTTAACTAGCTCACTGTCTCTATCCAGGTGCTATCAACAAATATCCCACCAAAGATCTGAGAGCTAAGTGTGTCAACATCACCTATCCCAGTCCAAGGGACACTGGCATGGAAGACACTGTATTGTGAGTTAAGAAATCCGAAGTTTGGGGAATACTGTAACTGGAAACAGTCCTTAAGAAAATAAAGGGAAGCAAATGCATTTTTAGTTTTCAAGAAACAAGTTTTGGGGCGTGTGAATGTGTTTTAAATGCTATGGTTTGTGATAACAACACGGGTCTGCAGTTAGTAGCAGGTAGAAATGACCTATATTAGAAAGAACTGTGTTTCTATTTCTATTCCTTTTGCCAACAAACAAACAAACCTCTTCTTTGGACCTTATTAACAATTAAATAAAAAAACTTTAATGTTGGGTAGTGCCAAAGCAGAAAACTTATGATATCAAAAGTTGGAGCAGGAAAAAAACATGAAAAATAATAAAACAAAACATTTGCCATTTAGAAAAGAAAATGCACATGAAGACAGGCAGGAAGCATTCTTTCAAATTTGACTTTGCAAAGTCTAACCCTAATTACTCAATAAAAATTCAGTGATGAACCCAGTTTTTGGCTTGAAGTTCTGAGAGAGTGAGACAAATAGATGTCTAATTTCCCTTCAGAATATCAGAAAATTGCCCCTGAATCCAATTCCTTCCACAAATTACATTTGAACTATTCCAGTCACATACATAAAATGGATTCCTCATATATTATCTGGATGTATTTACATTTAATCTTGCAAGGGACTTGACTAACCAATTTTTCATCTCTTTTTCTCTATCACTTCAGACTCATTCCCGAGGTCTATGAAATAGAGACAAAAAACAGTGAGCTGTTTGGTGAACTTGGTTCCCAGGAGCAGCATTTCCTAGTGTTAGGGAACAATCATAGCAATGATTCTGGGACCACGAGTGATGTGATCCAGAAGTGGTACATGCTCTTTTCACCCGAGGAATTGATGGTGAACGACAAAGAAGAGGCACATTCAGAGGAAACTACAGCTTCAGTCAATGACAAACAGCAAGGAGAAAAAGGTACTCTTGTGTACATTTGTTGAAGACCCTGCCGTCCTTTAGTTATTTGGATTCTTCCCCCTAGGTGGAAGATGAGCGGTGAGACTGTATTCAAGCAGGTGGAGATGACAGAATAAAAGAGAGGCTTATCACCTAGGGCTGCAAGGGTGTGTGTGTGTGGGGGGTCCCCAAAATAAGGAAGCAATAAAACTCCAGAAAATCCAAAAGGGAGTTAGTTGTGTTCAAAGCAAACAGAACTGCACGAGTAGAAAGGCTTGATGCAGAGTTAGGGAACTCAGAAATGAGAGACAAAACATAAAAAGGACAACAGGTCTTGAATAAGCAGGAGGAGCCCTGTCCCCTGGGGCAGAATAGGGCTGAGGAGCCAACACTTGAGGTCTTCCTCTTTCCAGTTCAGCTAGGGCTTTCTTGGTTTGAGATGTTGGACCCTTGCTGAGCCCTAGTTCTGATGGGGCTTTGAGAAGAAAAGGCTTTTGTGGTTCTGAGATCTATGCAGAAGCCAAGAATCACTTCTGGGCTGGGTGGGGGAAGGAGTCATGTCCCTGAAGCTTAAGGGAAAACAGGGGATGGAAAATGGGAAGCTACAATGGGCTCTAAAGAAGTCATCCACTGTTCTTGCTGAGTACCAGAACCATGTGGGAAATTATTTTACAATAAACATTCCTGGGTCTGCATTAATAATCTTGGGTACAATTGTTGAAGACCCTGCAGTACTTTAGTTATTTGGATTTTCCCCTGGTGGAAGATGAACAGTCAGACTGTATTCAAGAAGTTGGAGATGACAGAATAAAAGAGGGGCTTATATGGGGCTGAGGATGTGGCTCAAGCGGTAGCGTGCTCGCCTGGCATGCCTGCGGCCCCGGGTTCGATCCTCAGCACCACATACAAAGATGTTGTGTCCGCAGAAAACTAGAAAATAAATATTAAAAAATTTCTCACTCTCTCTTAAAAAAAAAAAAGAGGGCCTTATCACCTAGGGCTGCAGATGATATATGAAATATATGCATATTTCATATGCATATATGAAAATATGCATATCCAATGACCCAGCAATTTTTCTTCATTGTGTAAAGTCAGCAACAACAACAAAAATGTGTGTGTGTGTGTGTGTGTGTGTTCACCAAAAGTCACACACTAGAATGTATACAGAAGCACTATTTGTAGTGGCTCTTTAAGTGGGAACAAAATTATCCAACAGCATACTTGAGAAATAAATGTTGGTATATTTATACAATAAAATACTATATAGTATGTATGTATAGTTCAAAAAAGTTTAGATAAAGTTACAAAATACTTACTCTTAAAGATTATGTATACATAGTTTGAGATATGGGCATAATTATAGATATATAGCAAGATATATAACAAAATTAACAAAATGATGAAAAGCAAAGGAAACAAAGACAGGGAAGTATGAGAAATATAAATATAAAAGGACAAAGATGTAATAAAATGAAAATTAAAGGTGGTGTTTGTCAGCTTTTTGTCACTTGTGGCAGAAATATCTGATAATAACTTAAAGGAGGAAAGATTCATTTTGGCTTCTGGTTTCAGAGGTCTCAGCCCCTGGTCAGCCAAGTCTGCTGCTTTGGGTCTGAAGTGAGAAGGAGAGGAGCATGTGGCTGAGGAAAGGTGCTCAGCTCATGGCAGCCGAGAGAAAGAGAGCAGGAAGGGACAAGGGACAGATAGAGTCCTAAAGGCCACCCCCTAGTGACCTACTTCCTCCAGCCATGCCTATAGTTACACCCGGTTGCTCACTCAAATTATTAATTCACCAAGTGGATTAATCCACTGATGAGGTTAGAACCCTCACGATCCAATGTTTTACCTCTGAACATTGCTGCATTACCAAACACATGGCTTTTGGGGGGAACTGCCAGACCCTAAACCATAACAAATATATATACAATGAAATATCTGGTTCTGGGTGGAATGAGTCCTTTTTAGCTCCAACATGGAGTGAGTACATAGTCTCTCTCTTTCCTACTGATGATAACTAAAAAATTTTGATGAAATCCAAAAGGCAACGACCTGAGGACCCTGAACAAAAGAATGAAAGGAGGGGTACTATGAAGAGGCATGGTTTTACCATTTTCTCTGTTTTTTTGTGACTGTATGCGGAGGGCAGCCCCAAGTACCAGGGCTGTGTGGCAACAGTGGGGCAGGTGGCTAAAATGAATAGTTACCCAGCTTTGTGCCAAGAGAAACTAGGAGAGGAGCCCCTATGTGTTAAAGATAGTAGAAGAAACCTCATTTCCCCCCTTTTGTTCTCATGGTTTTGCTCAGAAGGCAGGCAGGTGGGAGCTAAATAGAAAGCTTTGTAATGTTGTGAACAACCAATAAAAAAATAAATAAATAAATAAATATTAAAAAAAAAAAAGAAAGCTAGTCGACTAGGTTAAAGAGGAATTCTGTCTTCCTGGCCAGAGCAACTGGGAAGAGGGACCTTGTGGCTAACACGTGTGAGTAACCTGATAGAGGAGAGAGTGGGAGCATGGGTCCTGGCTTTATAACTGCATCCTGTGTGGGTCCCAGGTTCTCCTGCAAGCTCATGTGGACGGGAGAGCTTTGAAGTGAAAATTGAGATTGGAACCATTACCCACAGAAGGCAGTGCCCAGTACTGACATTCTGAATCCCTGTTGGGGTTGATTTCCTGCTAAACCCAGCAAATAGTATTAAATTCCCACAGAGACCGTAATAGGGCTTGGAAATTATACAACATGATTTTCAAAATGGTCAAGATGCAATCCAAAATTATGCAATTTACAAAGAACCAGGAGTGTGAATAATTCCTGAAGGAAAAGATAATCAACAAAATGCCAACCTCAAGTTGACTCGGGTGTTGCAATTACAGACATTAAAAGAGCTGTTAGAACTATGCTCCATGAGGTAAAGAAAAACACCTGGAAGTGAATAGAGACAAGAGATATTTGAGCAGAGAAATCGAGACTGCACAAAACAACCAAAAGGAGACTGTAGTACTATGAAACGTAACAGCTGAAATTTTAAAAATTCTTTGGGTGGGCTCAATAGCAGAGCAAAGATGACAGAGAAAAGAGTCAGTGAACTTGAAGAGAGGTTAACTATACAAACTGAAGAGAGGAAAGAGCCGGAGAAAAATGAAAAGAGCCTTGGAGACTTGAAGAACAGTATCAAAATATCAATTGCTATTATCAAAATATCACTGCAATTCCTGGAAGATAGTAGAAAGAGATTTATGCAGAGAAAAAACATTTGAAGACATAATGACCCAAAATATTTCAAATTGGCAAAATATATAAATTTACATGTTTTAAAAGCTCAATGAGAATCTGACTCAGGCGCATCATAATCTGAGACAAATTATAAAGAAAAATCTTGAAGCAGCTGGAGAAAAACTATATGTTCATAATTGTAATACGAGGAAACAACTCAAATAACCATAGATTTCTCATCAGAAACCTCACAGGCTCTGGAACAACTTTTGTTTTCTTTGAAGTGCTAAAGGAGAAGAACTATCAACACTGAATTCTGTATCCAGTGAAAATATCCCTCTGGAATGAGAGTGAGACAGTGTTTACATTCTGAAATTAAAGACATTCTCAGATGAAGGAAAATGCACAGAATTTGTTGCCCATAGACCTGTTCCAAGGGAGAAATAGGGTGTGACAATCTGGGAATTTGGAATGAGGTCAAACAACTGCTGAGTGGGCGGGTGGAGACGTGCTGGGCAGGCAAAGCACAAAAAGAGGCACAAAGGAGAAGTTAAGAGAATGTATTAGTCAGCTTTGTGTCGCTGTGACCAGAAGGCCTGACAAGAGCAATTAGAGGAGTTTATTTGGCACGTAGTTTCAGAGTCTCCATCCATAGACAGCTGACTTCATAGCTGTGGGCCTGAGGTGAAGCAAAACATCATGGTGGAAGAGTGTGACACCAGGCAGAGAGAGAGAGAGAGAGAGAGAGAGAGAGAGAGAGAGAGAGAGAGAGAGAGAGAGAGCGCCTGCGCAGGTGCGTGTGTGCACACACACTCTCCACCACCAGGGACAAAATATAAACACCAAAGCTATACCTCCAGTGACCTACCTCCTCTAGCCACACCCTACCTGCTTATAGTTACCACCCAGTTAATCCATATGAGTGGGTAACACACTGATGAGGGTATACTTCCCATAATCAAATCATTTCACCTCTGAACAGTCCTGCATTGTCTCACACAGGAGCTTCTGGGGACACCACACATCTAAACCATAACAGTAACTGATGGGAAGGGAGGCTGACTGAGTACAAGAAAGTAGTTCCAGGTACAGCTTGCCCCTGTAAAGGACAATACTATTCATAAGATAATTTTGTACCTATGATCTCACTGAATTCTCTCCAAAACCCTGTATGGGAGACAGGAGTTATTATTCCTCTTATGCAGGTTGGAGAAATGGAGGCTCAAAGAGGCTTAGTGCCTTGCTGGGGCATGACACCAGCTCCATCCCTTCTAATGCAGTATGCTTTCCCAGTGTCTGGAGGAAGGCATTGTGGGTAGATCAGAGACAGAAGGGATGGGCAGAAGAGGGGATGTCTTATTCTGCTCAGGCTGCCATAACACGTGCCATACGCTGTGTGGCTTAAACAAGACTAATCTATTTTCTCCTGATTTGGGGGACTGGAAGTCCAAAATTAAAGTGCTAGCCTATATGGCTTTTTGTTATCTGTACTACAGATTGAATCCAGGGGAACTTGATCACTGAGCCACACCTCTAATCCCTTTTATCTTTTATTTTGAGACAGGGCCCTGCTAAATTGCTGAGGCTGGCTTGGAACTTGCGATCCTCCTGCCTCAGCCTCCCAAGTCCCTGGGATTACAGGCATGCACTCTTGCTTCTCAGCTGCCTGTATGGCTCTTGATGAGGGCTCTCTTTCTGGCTTACAGACAGCCACCTCCTTACTGTCCTCACATAGTAGAGGAGAACCCAGGTGTTCTTTCCTCTTCTAATAAGATCACCAGTTCTATAAAATCTGGGCTCCACTCTTCTGCATTTAACCTTAATTTCCTCCTTAAAGGCTCTGTCTTCAATATTGCCGAATGGCCTGTTAGGGCTTCAAAATATGAATGAAGGCAGGGCATGATTCATATTCACAGCAGAGATATAATTAACAATGTAATCACAGAAAAAGAGTTCTATAAATCCAGTGGTTCCCAGATTTGTTACTTCTAGCATCATCTGGTTATTTTGGGGGTGGGGGTGGGGGTGGGGGTGCTAAGGATTGAACTCAGGGGCACTTGACTACTGAGCTACACCTCCAGCCCTATTTTGTATTTTATTTAGAGACTGGGTCTCATTGAATTGCTTAGCACCTCACTTTTGCTGAGGCTGGATTTGAACTCATGATCCTCCCGTGTCAGCCTCCCAAACAGCTGGGATTACAGGTGTGCACCAACCACTACGCCTGGCTATCTGTTTTTTTTTTTTTAATAATAAAAGTTTAAATTCCAGCCCATGCCCCACATTAATTAAATTACATTTTCTTGAGGGAAAGACATAAGCATTAGCAATCATTAGAAGCTTTCTAGGTTCTTTCAATGTACAATCAAGTTTGGTACAAAAATACTATAAATTCTGATTGAATTGGTCCAATTGGATATCTCAAGGAGGTTATTGCTAAAAATGATAAAGTTGGTAAAATCAAAAGAATTATCATTAAGCAAGCATGGTCAATACCATTCTTACTATCATTGTAAATAATTTCTTTCCTCCAAAAGTTTTTTGGATTTTTCTATTGTAATTATGTACCATACATCTATAAATAGATGGTGTCTTCAATCCTTTTCCTCAGAGCTATGTGGCTAATAACTTGGTTTGGTGACATTTGGCTAGGCCAGCTATGTGAAGCCAATGGCTCTTTGAAAAATATCAATTGTGTTTTTTTAAAATTTTTCTTGGACTCATTGAGGCTTAGAGTTTGAAAATTGGAGTGACTTTGGAAATCACTGACTTTTTACAGATAAGGAAATGGAAAAGCCACGGGTATCTAAAGTGTCTTACTTAAGGATGTCCATAGTGCCTAATCAATGCTGTTTGTCATAATGATTCATACTCTATAGTTATGCTTATACAATGTAATTTTATCAAGTCAGCCCATGGCAAGGAAAACGTATCTCTCAGTTACAGAAAGTTGGAGATGATACATAGAAAGCTCAAAATACACATGGTGCCTACTATAGATAATAATCTAGTACTATCCCTGTATGAGTTATCAAAGTCTGATAATATATTGACAACCAAAGATAAAAATTCATTGTGCAAAATTATCAGGCTTCGTATGACTTTGCACATATTTTGTTTTCCCAAAGAAGAGTGGTCTTTTCTTTTTACCTACCCTCGTTGCTGATGTTTTCATTTTATATATTTGCAAAATGGACAGATTTTCTGCGTGCATTTGCAAGACTTTATTGTATATTGTTAAAGCATAACTATGTCTCTTTTCCTTCTTCTGCCAATCCAGGGCTTGTTTCTTAGTCTTTATTTTCCAATCATCAAGTACAGTGTTTCTCCAGTGAGATCGTTAGACTAGCAACATCAGTATCATCTTGGAGCTCATTAGAAATGCAGATTCTGGATTCCTATTCCAGACCTACTGAATCAGAAACTCTGGAGATGGGACCCTCCAGGTGACTCTGGTGCTGATTAGAGTTTGAGAACCACTGACCTTGTGTTATAGATATTGAACCCAAATCAGCCTTTTTAAATTGGAGTCCTTTCACTGGATATTAATAGGTATTGGGGCGGGAATCATGTTTCTGACATCACTGATAAGTATGTGCAGGACTTTTCATTGCTTTTAATGGGTAGATAGTTATGGTGATTCTGAGAGAGTAGCTATAGTTAAACCAATTTAACTTCAGGATCTTTATTAGGGAGTATCACATGGGCCTAGTGTTTGCAGCCACCACTTTGGGAAACAATTGATAGAATGAATCCTGGGACCAGACATAGATTTGAATCCTTTTTCCACAATTACTGATTATGGGATCTTGGGTATATCACTTTGACTCTCTGAGCCTTTGTTTTCTAATCCCTCATGGGGATAATAATAGACCTTATGCCATAGGCTAATGAAAGCAGTAAATGGATGTAAAGTGTTTCAAACAGCACTCGGCCTAGAGTAAAAGTTTCATAAACGTTAGTTATTATTTCAAATGATGATGACAGTGATAATAGTGATGATGGTAAATGACATTAGAGCTGATGGCCATGGTGAAGAAAACAGACTTTGAATGGGGAGAAGCAGGTGCTTGTTTTGGTCTGTCACTTACTAGCTTTGTGGTCTCTAAAAGTCACCTGATTGCTCTAGTCCTCAACTTCCCACTCCCTAGTGAGGAGTATGGGTAAGGGCAGTGTTTTTCATACCAGAGTATCTACACCAGCACCCACTGGGGGATATACAGAGATTATAAAAGCAAGACTTAAAGGGTGCTCTACCTGAGAGTAAACATTTGTGTCTCACATTTGTGTCTGAGGAATCATGGAGGACCTTATGTCCTTTTATAGATGCTCCCAACTCCACACACAAACCATGGTACATCTCCTGGATCTGATTGTGGTGCTTTGGCTTAGATATAACCACCCTCCTCCATCCAGGGTAACATTGGAGATGGGGTGGGAGTTGTCACACCAAGAGTAAAAATAATAGTGAGAACCTATCCATCTAATTCATAAAACATGTCCAATAAAAATGTTTACTTTCTGCCTTGATCAAATTACCAAAATTTTAATATTTGTGCTATTGTAATAAATCATAATCATAAATCCAGATAGATTAAATCTTTAACACATAGAAGCTTATAGTCATAGGAAAGTTTTTGAAATACACAAATATTTACATGTATATGTATATATTTTTCCTCGAAGAGAATTATGATCATGTAAACAGTAAGATTTTAAAGCATATGCATACTTTACAGTTAGAATGAAATTCGATGGAGGAAGTTAAACGGAAATATAAGTTTAAGGAGAGAAATGAGCACTATAATATATCTGCCTTTTAAACTTGGCATGTTTGCATATATTTTAATGGATAATGGCGATATCAAATCACTGTGAATTTAGATTTCATTGAATCAGTTAAAAGAGAAATGTGGAAGTTTTATTTTTATGTCAGTTTTTACAAATACATCACAAAGTTACACATTTTCAGCTGCTTAAACTTGTTATGAAAAAAATAATCAGATGTTAACTTTAAAATGTGCAAGGCCAAGAAGTATATTTTTCCTCCTTTGTGGTGGGTACATAAGTAAAAATGGCTGGAACGTCTCTAAGATTCTTAGGCCAGCTTCCCCTGAAGCCCACCCTGAGCTGAGACTCTGCATGCATGTGATCTGTTGAGGAGACGGCAGAAGAGCCAGTGAGGGCATTGCAAGAAGCAAGAAGGGCAGGAGCAGAAGCCCAACAAGGGTGTCATCTCAGCAAACTCCCATAGAGGGCAGCTAAAGCCTGGTCCTTGGAGGGAACTCAGGTGTCTGCGGTAGGCTGCAGTGATGTCCTGATGAGGCAAGGAAATTGGGTTTTCTTACTCCCTCCCAGATGACTAATTGGTGAAAAGCTGCCATAGGGAGGGACACAAATTCCAGGAGGGTTGTAAACCCCAGGCACTCAAGGCATATGTAGTTGGATCAGCTCTGGGAGCTCAACAGCAGTCCTCTGAAGAGTAGCTGGTGCTGACACTGGAAGTGGTAGTGGCTGGGAGAGGAGGGAAGAGAGGGGCGAAAGTTGATGGGGAAGAGATGCTGTCCCATAGCGAATGCTATGAAAAGGTCGAAGGGATTCCAAGCTGAACCCTGACATTGTCTACGTCTATGTCTCACATTCCTTCAAAAGCCTCTCTGATGATGCCAGATGCTAAATTTGCTGGGTAGGACATTTCCAATCATGAATGTACCATGGTCTCCCCATGGAGTGTACCTCCAGTTCTGTTTTTATATATGGCTCGTTTATGTCTATTATCACATCAGACTTTTAACTATTGAAAATGGCAAAACTACTTGTGTTTGTTTCATATATGGCTTATATAGGAGGAGTGGGCTCTACAGGGAACATTTTAAATAAATACAGTAACATTAAGAGCAGTGCATATTTTTCTGTTTTTTCAGATGGCGAGGACACAAAATGATTATAGCAGACAAGAAGACAGCCCTTTGGGCGTGTGTAATCCCCTGTGGTTCTAACCAGAGAATATGAATAATCCATTAGAAGTGGTGTCAGGAATTTTCCTGAAAATGACTGTATAAAAATGACTGTGCTAAATTTTGTTCTTGTTTTAAGAGTTTTCTGAATAAAGACATCAGTGACCAGACCTGAGAAACTAGGATTGATGTCATTTCTCCTGAGAATTGGGAAAACTGAACCCAAAAGAGTTAACTGAATCTTTTCTTTGAAAGCTCTGCTCTTTTCATTAGATTTGATCCATTTTGATGATGTAGTTGTCTAAAGAAGATTTTTGCAATACTTTTTATCGTATCTAAATCTCAATTTGAATTCTGAAGTAAAAAGAATTTAGAATGTCCTAGGAACATCTTCACCCATCTAAGAAATGGAATCCCATGCCCCTGTCTCATGTTCCCGTATGGCCCCAAATTGCTTCTAGCACTGGTTGCCTGTAAAATCCATCTTCACACTGCTACCAGCGTGGACAATGCTTTCTCCTTTTACTAGGATATTTTAAAAAGGAATAGAATTCATGAGAAATAAAAATTGAGAAGAGGATAATCCCATGGTTTGCTATTTTGTGTTGTGATCAGTTTTTTTGTTTGTTTTAGCGGGTTTTGTTTGGTGTGTAATGGTTTTTTGATGAAAAAAATAAAAACTTGGAAATGCATGAATACTAAATATGACCAGAGCTGGTCTTAAAAATTACAATGTAGAAGGAGACAATTTTTTCAAATAAAACCAAGTCTGACTCACAAACTTGTTTTGTTCATTTTGTTTTATTTAACTATGGACCCATTAGTATTAAATCAGACCCATCAGAGTGCAAACACAGAAATATATTTGGAAATACACATACAATATAAAATAAACCCATAGTGAATTAGTCTTAAAAATCATTCCATTTGGCCAAGGCAACAAGTAATAACCAAGCCAGTGAGCATATATATTATATAAAAAACAAGATCACTGTGTTTTCCACATAACTTTCCTTGTTTGTTTACATAATTTAAAAATAACCCAATCAATTAATTCTAGATTTTCAGATTTTTAAAAAGTATCATTTATTGCTGTATGGAAAGTTCTACTCATTTAATAGTTTTATTTTCCCCCAAGCAACGTGATATGTGTGAATGTGTGTGTAAATAGGCATCAATGTATGCATGATGAATACCTCAGATCCCTAAATCAGAAAATAATATGGGCTATCAATAATAGAAAAATACAGGACATCCCACTGCTGAGGGGAGCATAACTGTTGCAACTTTGGACAGCATTTTAACAATACCTAGTTGGATATCCTATGACCTAGCAGTCTCTCGCTTCTAGATCTATGTAGCTGTGTGAGAAGCTCCTCACTCATGGACACTCAGAAACAAATACAATCAGGTTTATTGCAGCATTGCAGGTTTTAGGGACGAGTTGAAACCAACCTAAATATCCTAACATAGCATTTTCATATAAGGGACTATGATACAGAGGTTAAACTGAGCTGCATCTGGAACAGCAGCTGTAAACATGGACAGATCTCAAAGATGATGTTGAATCAGGAAGAGTGGCATTTTTAAACCTGGTGAAAAAAATACCATTTATTGTTTATGACTACTGACAACTCCAGGAAAAGCAAAGAGACACATATGGAGATGACAGACATCAATCTCCAGAGAGTGGCTATCTTTCAGCAGGGAGAGGTAAAATGGGAGTCCAGCTGTCATTGTAATTGCCTTATTTCTTAAACTGGGCAATGGAAAAATGTGCATTTCTTATATTATTCTTTGAACATTTTTGAATGCCTGATATTTCATCATTTGAAAGAAAAATTAGTCATGAAAAAAATACATCCAAAATTCAAGTAAATCCTCATGCTATATCTAAGATCATGTTAGGGAATTGGGAGGGACTTTTAAAAATAGATAATCTCATTGCCCTGGAGGAGTATGCTGTAAGTCAAGGTCACTAGAGTTAGTACCATTCCAAAATAATGGTGAAAACTTGTCCTCTTCACTGACAAGCCACCTAATCTTGATCGGTGTATAAAATTAGTTTGTCACTCTTAGAATGCATTCACTTTTGATATAAATTTTATGTCTAAGTTATTTGAAGATATGTAGGGCACAGCAAAATTTGATGCATATAGGAAGTAACAGCGATGATATTAAGTGATATTGTTTTACTGGAGGAGCAATTATGTTGTAACTATAAGGAAATTTTAAAAAAGTGAATTTTGTACTTTGGCCATTCAAGCCAGAAATATAAGACCTTCATGTGTTATGTGGGCCCTGAAAAAAAATCAAGAACCAACATCAGAGGATGATCATAGGATGATAAAATATTGCAGTGCACAAATTCTGAGTAAGGCTGCTAAGAGAGCCAGTAATTGCTCTGGAATTCAGAAAAGGAAAAATCACTTAAGATTTAAATAATTGGAGACTTCAAGGAATAAATGGGATCATGCCAGTTTCCTGCTGAAAGATAATAATAATTATGCTTTCCTTTGGGCTCCTTTATGATAACAGTGTCCTAGAAGGAGTTTCTAAAGGGCCATTTCCAATCTAACGTTTCTCAACCTTTCCAGCCTCAACTCTTCCCACTGCAAGGAACTTCTTCCTGTTCTCCTATTCTTTCTGCTGGGCTGGCTTTCACCTGGTGCCGCAGTCTGGCTGGGCACAATTCAGGAGCCACTTATCAAGCAGAAATGAACTTTATTTTTAAAACACACACTGCACAACAAGAGCTCTTCAGGAATTCCCTCAGAGCTCAACTACCACCACTGGCTTCCAGCGAGCCTCTCACCTCCAACTCCTCCCGCTCTTGAGGTGGATTGGCTGGGTCACGTGGGCGGAGCCAAAAGAGTCCCCCAATGAGCAACTCCCGTGGTCTGAAAGGGCGGGGAAACAGCCCTTAGAGCATCACCACAGAGAAGCCAATCAGCTGGCAGCTGGAAGTTTGCTGGAGCCTCTGTGAGCCAATCAGCTGCAAATTTGCTGGGGCCCCTTGGGCTGTGGCTCTCAACAACCTGGAACATCTTCCATAAGTAAATCTGGGCAAATAAGTCCACACTGCTGTCTATTCTCTTAGTACCTGGGTCTCTCCTTCGGACCCCTCATCAGAGCAGGTTATAATGGCCCATTCACTTGTCAATGTCCCCAAGAGGCACTGAAGTGAGCCCCTCTGCCTTGCTCAACACTGTACTCCTAAAACCCAGGACAGTGCCTGGCACTTATAAGGAATCCAATAAATAATTGATGAATGAAAGAACATTTGGTCAGGAAGGATAAATATAGTTTGATTGGGTGGTGAGGAAAGGAACTGGTATGAGCCTGTGCTCTGGTGAGTGGGGAAATGGGCAGAGTGTGAGCAGGGTTTGTATGGTGGCCAGTGTGACCACATTAGGAATCTGAGGCCATAGCAAGTAAAACAAATTTAAAAAATAGTAGACTAAAAAAAAAAATCTTGATCCATTTTACAACATCCAACCTATTAAAATATGGGGTGATCCATGAGCACAGTTGCAGCCCTTAAAAAGGACCCATGGTGCATGCATTGAGCACCTGCTTTCCCAGAGATCTTATGCAGAAATGACCCATGACCCATAGTTGAGCCACTGCAACCTTATGTGACATGAGACAATGCGCTAGAACAGCTGGTCAGAATTACAGATGACTAAGAATCCTGTGATATCTCTGGAAAACTTCATTTGACATTTTAAATATGATTCATAAATCTTTTATCTAAGTGCAGACGGTGGGGGTGAAAAGTTGAATAGTCATTTTTAGAAGTTTGGGCAGCCCCTACTGCTCTCCCTAAATGGAAACCTCTTTCCATCTCTCCAGAGTGATCTGCCTCCACTTTTAGAACATCTCTCCTACTCTGAGAGTATCCGAGATCTCCTTGCCCTGCCTGGAGGGAGTCTGACATTTTCTTTTGTCGAAATTTCTTTTCTCCACGGTCCAGTTTGATAGTCCTAGCACCTTGTAGAACACTAGGAACTTAATAGAGGCTTAATAGCTATTTTTCTTTATGCCAGAAGGGATGAATGAATCAGCCCTGTCTTGCTGAGACTGGATAATGTCCTGTTGGCCTTCTTCTCTTCTTCTCCCCGGCTTCTGCTTCCCCAAAGGAATTTGGATTCTATGTTGAAATAAAGTCCTTTGGCAGGACTAGCAGTTGTCCTTCACAGAAAGGCTGCCAATGAGAAAATTCTCATCTCCTATGATGGTGCTATTGTTGGGATCTTAAATGTTTCCCAAGGCTCATGTATTTTTTTAAAATCAGGACATTATAATTATAAATAATTGTGGGGTTCACTGTGACATGTTCATACATGCACCTAACTTAGTTTGCTCCAGTTCATTCCCCAGTACTTCTCATTTCCCTCTTCTCCTCCCTCCCTTTGGTTCCCTTCCTTTATTCTGCTGGTCTTCTTTCTATTAGTTTTTTTTTTTGTTAGTTGGTGGATTATACTTACCCATAAAAAGTAAAATTTTTGTGAAACTGAACAAATTTTGCTTTGTGCATGTAAGAATATATCACCATGAATCTGAGACCCATGTACTAAAGGCTTGGTTCTCAGTTCATGGAACTACAGAAGATGGAGGAAGCTTTAGGAGGTGGGACATAGTGGAAGGAAGTTAGGTCATTGGGAGTACACCCTTAAAGGGAATATTGGGATGGTGGACTTTCTCTCCTTGACTCCCAATTGCCATGAGGTGAACAGTGCCCTCTGAGAAGTTCCATGTATTCCTACCATGATACATTGCCCCACCACAGGCCCAAAAGAAATGGAGCTAACCAATAAAGGACTGACACCCCCAAAACCGTGAGTGAAAATAAACCTTTCCTGTTTTCAAGTTGATTTATCTCAGGTATTTTTAACATCAGTTGAAAGCTGACTAACACAAATGGGATAACTGCTCTGCAGAATGGGCTCACAAATGGACTATTTGTGGGTAAGACTCAAAGATGATGGATATATTAGTAAACAGCATAAATCATCTTTTTCCTCCCAGTCACAAATACTTCTGCAAATTCAAAAAGGGGGGCTTTTCTTACATGATAGAAAGTACCCTGTGTTTTCATGGCTTTGGATGGTCACAATACTGGCTGCCCAAAGTGTAACTAAGTGAACCAGCAGTATAGCATCACCTGGGAGCTTGTTAGAAATGCAAAATATTTGGACTCCAAGTCTCCTTGATCAGACACTGCATTTTAACAAGATCTCAAAGTAATTCATGTGTACATCTAAGTTTGAGAAGTGCTGATCTAGAATTCGTTTGCTTGAAGCTCTCTGTGAATGAATAGATGCATTTAGTAGTTTTCAGTTCAGTGCAGCATGGTATATTGAGCATCTACATCTGCCATGTAACATTCATTGTGCCAGAGGCAGAGAATTTAAAGATCATTAAAAATGGCACATGCCTTTAAGCTGATGGTTTAATGGAAAGTCAGACCCAAGAAGAGATCAACTTAATGTAGTGGTGCTGAGGCAAAGGTAGCAGCTTGCATATGGGAGTACAGAGAAGGACTCTTTAGTTCAGACAGAATATGGAGAAGGTTTTTAGATCAAGGAGAAGTCCTTTGATCTAAAGATCTAAATGAAAATGATTAGATACAACTTTGCAAGATAGGAACTAAAAAAGAAAGAAAGAAAACCCCCAAGTTGTTTTCCCCCTAACTTGATGGTGAAAGTTTCTCTCTCTCTCCCTCTCTCTCTCTCTCTCTCTCTCTCTCTCTCTGAACTTATTTATGCTAAGAATGGA